ATATCTAAACGTGAGTCTTTAGATTGTGAGTGATACGGAAAGTAGAATATAAATTTCAGGATTGCGAATAAATAAAGGAGTTTTATTTCTCAACTTTTATTTCACGAAACTCAAAATGTAATTACTATAATAGAATTTAACTGCGAAAACCACGAAAAATGTAATATTTAATTAAATTTTGTTGGTAGATAAATGAGCTTGTATTTTCAATCGCGTGCCTCATCCGACGTATAGCGGAAATTTCTCAATTCCTAGTTTTTTTTTTTTAACAGTAAACGTAATGTCCATATTAAAATTCTGAAAATGTTAAGCAATTTACGGAAGGTATGTGCATAAAGCGAGCGATCGTAGATTCGCTCGCGGAGTTTGCACAGTTGCATTCCGCAGTAACGCTGCACAGAGACGACAGCTGCCAGCGGTGACTCCTCGGTCGTCTTCGCGCTCGTCTGCAAATTATATTATCAGGTGTTACAACAATGCTGCGGCTCATTATCGGAGCCGAAGTGCAGCAATTAAACCGTCGGCAGACGATATGCTCGTAAACAGATTATAGATAGACCCCGCGGGCGCGCTCTCGGGCCGAGAGGTGTGTATTCCGTAACGTTATGCAAGCAGTTATTCAAGAGCCTTAGACTGCGACTGCGTTGAAAAATTATCTTCGATCGGGACGGTCCCCGCGTACATTGAGACGTCGATGCAATCGGGACAATCGCGAATCTTCACGGTCAGTTTTTTTCCGACGAGGACTTTTGTCGGAATCGCCCACCGCGACTCGTAAACACCGTGACAAAGCCTTCGCGCTTGTAATTCTGGCAACATTATGCAATGACACGGTGTGACCGCCGTCACGTACACTCGGAGAGTCCGACAAAAAGAGCTATAAAACTAAATGTCACCTTAAACGGCAATTTATATCATATCGTCATCTTTTTTTTTTTACCATATTACAAAATTATAATTTTTAAATCGCGATATCTGTTCAATTTTTTGTTTCAATCGCATTTTATACCACCTTAATTTTTTTAATTTCTGTTTTATGATTTGAATTTTTAGGTACACGGAGAGAATTTTCTTTTAAAATTTACCCTGAAAATTATGTTAATTGTGAGACAATATAGTATTTAGGTAAATTTTACTGTGCACTACAATAAATTTTACTGCGAAATCTTATTGTAGTGCACAGTAAAATTTGCCTAAATACTATATTGTCTCATAATTAACATGATTTGCAGGGTAAATAAAAAAAAATTCTCTCCGTGTAGATACTATAATTAGATACTATAAAGATACTATTAATTAATAGTAATTTCATAAGCGCGATAAGTGCGAGAAATGTATCGTACGATGCGGATGAACGGCCGAAGTATCGAGAGGCGATAACGCTTTTTGTTTCACGCCGGTATGTGCAACAAGAAGCACGTTTATTTTTGACGTTCATTCTCGGACTTTTCTCTCGTCAATAGAGATACGGCGATAATGTGTGTAGTATATATACGCCCGGCGCGAGAGATGTTGTCGGACGTTTTCGTGGAGCGCGAGTGAAAACGATCGGCAGCACGGGTGCATCGAATTGACACGGATATCTCCCGTTTTATCAGGCCGGCGCGCATGCATTGTTGTAAAAGTTTGCCGGAGGAAATCACATCCGTGGATCGCGCCGTATACCTGCAATGTGGTCGGCGATGCCCGCAATCTCGTGGAATTATATTGTACCGTTACTGGATCTCTGTCTCTCTCTCTCTCTCTCTCTTTCTCTCTCTCCGCTATGGTACCATCGCACACACGCCTCTGTTCGGCAGGAAATTCGAATTGTGCCACTCGAGCGATCAGATTATTGTCTTCGTTACGACGATCTCCAATATCAAGAATCCGAGCGCGGAATTATTCTCACTTGTTATCGAAAATTGTTTTAAATATTCGATGGTGCGGTAGAATATTAAAAAAAAAGGGCAAAAATATTTATCTTTGTAGGATTTTGTACAGGAATTTTTTTATACGTTTTGCATAACTCTTACTTCGCTTTTCCAGCCGGCAAAAAGAGTTTTGGAGGCGCCGGGTATCGATCCCGGTACCTCTCGCATGCTAAGCGAGCGCTCTACCATCTGAGCTACGCCCCCTTGGTGTACCTACCTCACAGATGGTAGAGTCGAAGAGAACGGAAGACTGCGCGAGATCTTCAGTGCGGAGTAACACGCGACGTTACACTTTCTCCGAACAATACCTCGCGTCTCGCGAACTGAGGAGGATCCATCATTTAACACTTTGACTGTCGGTAGCGGGCATAACCGACACGGAGTATAGGCTCCGTTCTGCGACATGACGACTAGATCCGATATTTTATTCCACGCCAGTTCACGCCCGCGTGTAGCGTCTTGCTCCACCTAACGTAATCTCTCTGTATTTTGAAAGCTATAAAATAATGGTGGATAAAAATTACAAATAAATCCGACGTTCCGACAAATTGATAAGGCATTACATGTTGTTTTATCTATAATATTGGTCGTAAAAATCGAGCGTAAATAGCGTGCGTAAACACGACACTATATATATATATATATATCGTCTCCTTCCCGTTCAATGGACTTATCGCTTCTCCTTTTTTATATTAGTCATGGATGAATCATATACCAGTAATATGTGTCAGATCGTTGCACCTGCAAGTTAACCATGCATCGCGCGGCGTAAAGTTGATGCAACGAGCTTGCGATTGCGCTCTACATCATTGCGAATAGCAGACTGGTTTTCGAAATCTTTCCTTTCTTTTCGGCGTATTTTAATCGGTCGCGCTTAACGAAATCAAGAGGGCCGTCGATTTGGGCAATTTTACGCTTTCGCGAAAACGTTTTATTGTATTTTTACGAGTGTATATTGCATAATCGTGTTTTGCACATTTTTGCCCCCCCCCGAGCGCTCGCGACTCCTTCGTTCCTTCCTTTACGAACGTGGCAAAATAAGCGTCCATTGTCTCAAAATGGGAACGAGAATAGGACTCGTTGGCGGTGGAATAAAGATCGCCGTGCGAACGCGAACGATTTCTTGGACTATAAAAAAAAACGATTATTGCCACGATAGCGAACAAAGGGAAACGCACGAGCCATCGTACACAGAGTGATTCACCCAAGTGTTGCTCACCCATATTGATTTCCTTCCCTAACGCTTCATTTGAGGCATGAATTATCCGGGAATTAAATCACTTAATCGAATCCCTGGATCTCTCTCTCTCTTTCCGGGAGGAGCTCTTAAATAAATAAACTTTTCTCCAACGAACTCGCGAGTTGACGTGGTTATCAATACCGCTCGTTCTTTCCCGCCGAACGAGAGGAAACAAAGCGGCGACGCTCATTACGGGATTTATCGACAGTGGCTTCCTTTCCGCCCCTGGTAAATAAAAGAGTACCAGATAGGCGATTCATCCGGATTTTTTTTTGTTTTTTTTTTTTCATTTCGACGTGAAAATCTCGCGTCGCATGAAAACGCGAGAATCCGTTCATCCCATCGCCCTCGCTCACGACACCTACTCCTCCTCCTCTCTCTCTCTCTCTCTCTTTCTCTCTCTTTCCCTCGTGCTGTCCCGCCACCGTTACGTAACGCACGTAAAAGGAGACAGCAAACTACATAGCGCTAACGAACCTTTGTTCGCGTTTTTACGATTCCAGTAAATAGCCGGGCCGTGAGTCTACGAGCTCTCGGCGCAGCGTGACGTTATTGCGGCCGTAACAAAGAGACGAACCGACCGCGTTTTCCGGCGGCAACGTCGAAAATTGCACCCCGACCCTCCCTTTCCCTTCCTCGCCTCCCTGACTTCTTCCGGGGAAACCCCCCCCCCTCCTCGAAACGCGCGGCTCCGAAACGGGCCTCTCCTCTGCAGCGTCGCTTTCCCTCGCGCGCGCGTGTCTCCGCCACGTGCACGATCTGTCATGTGCACGCTTCACGCCACGACGGCGATTCCCAAATTGCGAGAGTCTCTTAATCTGCGAAGTAAAGCGCTCTATCATGTCGCATGTGTTACGTAAATGGCAGTATTATAACATTTGCCGTATATTGATCTCTAGATTTCCTCCAATTTGACCTTCCGTTTCACTGTCGCCGACATTCGGTCGGCTCCTTTATATATGTATATATATATATAACGCGATACGTGTTATTTCTGCAATAATTTATCTATTTAATAACAACGCCTGACGTGACGCGGAATTTCCGAAATATCTTGATTGACATCGAGACAAAAGGCGTGATATGAAGTGGTATCATGCTTGACCCATATCACGCGTTTCGATAAAATGCAAATCATTCAAGTCTCCGTTGAATAATTCAGAGTACAAATGCATGTTTGCTTAATGTCTTTTCTTTTAATATTAATAGGATCCGGCATAATCTAGCGCAATCGCGTTACACGTCCGCTTCAATTTATATATCGCAAAATCATAGTGAAAGAGAAGAAAAACATGCGCTCGATAGAAACAAATTTGCATGGAGTCTATAATTGGTTTAGATTTTTTTTTCTCTCGCTCGTGTATTCAGATCGTAAACGAGAAGCATTGACTCGGGCATCAATGGAGAAGATTTATTTCTGCTTCGCAGCGTAAACAAGATATCCCGCGCTACCCCGTAAACAAGAGAACTTCCGATCTTAATTCTAATGAAAGATTCCGTGGTCGCCCGACAAACAAAGGAACAAAATAGTTCGTGTATCGATTTACTCTGACGCTCCCCGACAATGTAAGCTCCTTGGCCAAGTAGGCGTCGTAAAAATTACGCAACCCACTGTACTGGGGATGAACGATTTTAGGGAGCTTTTATGCTCGATGGTTTTTATGAGCCCGTTTGATGGGGATCGATCCATTTCGTATATATTTTCTTATCCAATAAAAAATATTGCCGCAACGTACGGTTTTATTTTAGCGAGTTTATCGCGATGATAAAAAGCATAAAGATACGCCGGAGACAAAAACGTTACAGCGTGGATTGGTCAAGAGACTCTTGAGAATAACAGCGAAATATTTCTTGTTTTTCTGCCGCTTTATTGCCTTTCACTAACAAACACTACATCTTAAATTTGATGTACATATGCATTAAAAGCCTTTTTTTAAAGACGTTACCTGCAGGACTCGATTTACATATATAAACTGAAAAAAGTTACAGCCTTAGAGCCTTGAAAAGTGCTTCGCGCGGTCTTGAAAAAATTTATATAAATGTATAATTCTGATTAAAATATTTTAATTTAATGAGTCTCCATATACTTTTGCTGGTAGTAATATAATTTAAAGTTTCATCATAAATTTAAATCCATTATATCTATATGATAAAATTCACATAAATAATAAAAACGCGTACCTCCTCTCTGTCTCTTTCTCTCTTTGTATATACAATGTTTTCATTTTTAACGATATGCCTGTTCAAGTATACATATTTCGGCGCATTTCTCGCGGCAGAAATTTGCGGCATTTCATCATAAAAATCATGTTTAAGATCCCATTTAAGAACATCTGCGCGAATGGCCTTATGCAAAGCAGTTTGATCCTCGCTTAGCGATCGGGAGCAGACGCGCCGGCATTGTTACGCAAAGTTTTGCTGTGTGGAACTACGTGACTCATTGTCGCTAAACGTTCTTAAACAATTTATATCGGTGTCTTTTAGCGGAAGATTACGTGCAAGGACATCGAGGGATAGAGATATAGGCAGTCACACAACTACTACGTCCGCACGCACGACCGTGCATCGCGACCAGTGAGTCACACTTTTGATACCGACACATTTACGAGAATCGCGAAAATTCTCTCTCTCTCTTTCTCGTAAAAAGCTTCTTGCATAACTGTACACAATATTTCGCTGGCCACTGACTTTCAGAGAATCACGTGTTATATATGCTTTGTTTCTCGCTGTATACATTTAATTTATGCAATCCCATGATTTTATGCGCGTGTATATGGGTCATATTCGACGAAGTAAAAGTTAAAATGAAGTAAAACTATCTTAAAATAAGTTTTAAACTGAAGTTTCTTTCTGATTTTAAGACACATTTCTTTTGATTTAAAGTAGTATTTTCGTTATCGTTGAGAAACAAATGTTTAACTTTTCTCGATTCTGAAATTCTTGGAAATCCTGCGGCTTGGCAGCGCGGAATTATTTTATATTTTCATATCGTGATTCACTGGTTACTTGTTAGGTGACCTTAGAGCCTCTGGCGTGTGATGGCACATCTCGGGTATGCAAGAGATATTTGTTCGCGATGGAAAAAGAGCTGGACACGCTACGCGTGAATAACACAAAAATAAAACGCGCGATTTGAATACATATGCGCTGATAAAAAAAAATGCCACCTTTCCGTAAGGTGGTTCTTTGTACCTGAATTATCTGTTTGGCTGTTAATTCTACTGGAAACGCTCGGCACGTCCAAAATTGGCAATTCCACAATTCGTGGATTCGTGATTCATTCGCTGAAAACAAATACGGCGTACTTCAGTGAGCTCTGAAGAAATGGCGGACGTACATTGTGAGAATAGCCTCGGAACCGCGAATGCTATTATTTCAGGATAAATAGGCTTTTTATCGCGGCGGATCTCTTTTTAGCTTATTAATTACTTATCGGCAACCACCTTTAATTAAGTTTAATTAGAGGCCGATAATTGCCCTCCAAGGGGGTCCCAATTCTCTGCAGTTAAAGGATGTTCGATATCCTTGGGCGAGAAATGTAGGTTTACGGACGAGCCTACTGACCGACAGACCGAACGTCTTCCGTCGACGGCGAGCGTCGCGCAAGGTAAAAGCAATTTTCGTCACTCGAGCGTGGAACCGGTTATTATTAGTCATCGCAAATTGCGGCAGACAGAACTTCACGATGGTTTCGTAGCAGCTAATCGCGTACGCCGAACACCGAGCTGCTCCATGCTCCGTTATAACGGAATATTGTATATATGTAAAAGAGAAAGAGAGAGAGAAAGCGAGGAAAGAATTAATAAAGAAGGCAGAACATATTGCAGAAGGATATGAAAGTAGAAAGACGGTTGGAGCAAACCGATGAAGTGAGAAAGAGAAGAGGATAAAAAAAAAGTGAACGCAAGAGATAGTAAGAGTCGATTGTACCGCGAGCCTAGACAAGAGACAGGCCCAGAGGGATAAACCGATATAGAGCGTTGTTATGACAGCCTGAGGACAGCGACGACAAACTGACAGTTAACACGACGGCACAGAAGGGAAGTCGAGGCAGAAGAGAGACGTGTTCTTTTTTTTTCGGGAGTATTGATTCATTCGGTACGTTGGGGTGAACATCGCCCGTTTGCTATACCTGGTGGTGGACAGGTGACATTTTCGAGCTTTCTTTGTCGTATTGTTGTATATACAGCGATGCGTTCGAGGAAGTCTTGTAAATTTGCCGAGACGACAGATCCGTCCGTTTATCTCTTACGAATACCTAAATAATTGCATTAATATTTATTTCTTTATACCTAAATATAGGTAAATATTGCATTAATATTTCTTTTTTTTTTTTTACAAATGTAATGTACTAATTTTGCGTTATACTTACAAAAAGGTGCTGAAGAATCACACAATAAAAGCACATAGAGCGGAAATAAGAGACAATTTTAATCAGTCGGTCGCGCCGGCCGCTCCCTGAATCGTCGCAGTCCCCCGCTATATAACATAAAGAAAAGAAGGCAATTCAGTTAGGCGTGGTAAGCTAGCGCGCCGTTCTAATAAATGCCATAAGGTGGAATAACAACGGGAATCAAGAGAGAAACAGAAACAAAGGCGGGATCCTTCGGATCGAGCCTCCGTCATTCGTAAGCGACGAAATCGAGCGAGGAAAACGGCGAGGAGGGCGACCGAGGAAAACGAAACTCATTGTCGTAAGTGCACAGAGGCAGCATGATTGAGCGTTCGAGGAAGCGGGAGAGACCGGTCGGTCAAGCCGAGCTCGATAGAGACAGCGGGATAAAGAGAAGGCGGGAGACGGGGAATGAGATGGACGTATGTATATATACGTGGAGTAATCGCGCCAGGACTATACGTGGAGAACAGGGGTATTCGAGCGACGGGCCTCTCTGGTAATATCGTATGGCAGTGCCGGTAATGAGAGGCGCTTTCCCGAGCGTTGACCTCTTCGCGCTTCCAATACTAACCTCGGCCAAAAGTACGTCCGGCTTCTCCCGGGAATACGAAATAATAGAAACCTCACACACGGCGCGCGAAGAGAGAGAGAGAGAGAGAGAGAGAGAGAGAGAGAGAGGATGAGGAGGGAGAGAGGATGAAAAAGAGAGCACAAGAAGGACGGAGAGGGATTCCTCGTCTTCACGGAAATCACGATTGACCGGGAGTTCACACGGAACTCGACTAAAATATCATTCGCCCGAACGTTGGCGGTTCGTCGTAATTTTACCGTTGAGCGGAATTCTTACCACGAATTCGAACGGATGTTTTAACGTATACGCATCGAGCAATTGTTGTATCATTCGGAGAATGTAGCTAGTAGAAAGAAAGTAGAGAGTGAAAGAAGTGGAATGAAGAATCGTCAATTCGATCGATATGTCATAAGCCAGACGTAGTAATTTGTAATTAAATCCATGTCTCTCTCCAAGTTTGTATTTAAGTTTATATATAATTTTTATAATATTCAGTCTATTAATATGTATAGTTTAAGTCTCTATATATTTTTAATCGACAACATACCTTCTCGTATATATCTCGAGATGACGGCCCCGGCAGATCTGGCCTTAGCTCGAGAGCTGCGTAACTCCAGCCGTAAACTGAATTCGCGGAACGCTCTCATGCTGATTTCTTTCGGCGGGCTAATCTATCTGTCTATCTATCCAATAATCTAGCCTGTCAATCCGCGGCGGCACCACGAAAACACGTTTCCTAGCAGAGACCAGTATACCTGTTTTGCGGCGGACAGGTTGAAGGAACTGTTATCGTCGTCGCATTTCGTCACGTCGCCGTGCTTCGTCCGAGACCGAGGAAAAGTCGGCGCGCGGCTCGCATTTCACACGCCAGTATAACGCACAAGCGCGACATCGCCGACCGCGTATAATATCGTCGAACTTCCTGTCCGTCCCACCGATTAACTTCTAACGAAATATCCGAATAAGAGAATATCCCGAATGTCGCGCGGCCAGCCGCCGCCGCCGCCCCCCGTCGATTCCGCGAAAATCCAACGATAATTAACACACGCGACACCGTCATAGCGTCGCCTCTTCCCCGAGCCCGTCGTCCCCCGTGGCCTCTTATCGAATCCGCGTGACGCGTCTCGCATCCCGGTCGTTCGATTTCGCGACGAATGCCGACCGGGGCAAACTGATGAAAGCTACGCGTAATGTTTGCAGCTACTTATCGGAATTATTCGAGAGTAAAATCGCTGATCGCGGCAATCGAATCCGATGTGATTTAATATTGCGCACGCCGCTCCGTGACGTTTTACATATAACAAATACGTGCAAGGCGAATAATCTCTGCGCAGTTAGTTTATCGCATGGATTATGGACGTATTTCATGTTTCTCTCTTCTCTCTCTCCTCACTCATACACACACACACACACACACACACACACACACATATATATACATATATATATACATACGCTCTCTTTCGCGCGACGACATTTCGTCCGCGTAACAAAGACTCGTTAAAGGGCTCTCGCGGAAATGAAGGGTCGGTCCCTCGGTGCCTTCATTTTGTAGTATCCTTGGGAGACAAAGGAAGAAGGAATCGGAGGTCTCGGATGGTGGTGCCATTTCGTCCGCGATCCCCCAACCCGCGCAAAGGGATGTGGTTTCATTGACCCCAACATTTACAACGCACGAAACTGTTATGTCACATGATACGTTTCCTTTACTTAATTGAATTTCAGGATCTACTTATAGAGGAAGATCTCAGACGCCGCTCATTTATCTCCTGACTTTTGTCCCTCGGCTAAGAAGTGGATCTGATTTTTGTCCCGTTCTGTCACACCAATACAAGCGACGGATGTCCTCCATTGACTATTTTCTTTGCCGGAACGATGCATCATCTGCAGATTAGTTCGTTAATAAATGATGCTATTTCATCATATATTTGCGAAAAGATGATGAAAAGCAAACCAAATATATTGAAATACGTGTGTTTTAGCGGGATTATTCACGATCCCGAGCTGCAAGTTCGGTAATGTGAGATAGCTTATCAGCAATCCAGAAATTACTTTTATGAGAGAGTTATTCAGGTCAGATTATACATTTGTGACTTCTTCGAAGAGAGGAGGTATTTGCAAAAAACGTAATCAATTATTTTGATATATAATAAAGTTATTATCTAATAAATTAATTATGGACGTATTAAGTTAACGTGAGTGTATCAGTATATTTATTTATGTAAAAAGAAACGGAGTGTACAATTTATGCCGGTGTTTGTTCACTGCTCTCCTTAAATCGCGCCGCAAGAACGAATAATATTTGACTCTTGACTCATAAGTATTACGAAGCTGTGACAATGCCTGAATTCCTCTCAATCTCACGGTAGATTTTCTTTACGTGATTTAATGCTCCTGAAAAGAAGAGATATTTTTATATCGTATTGTTATAGCTAATTATTATGAATATTACTATAGCTAGTTTTACAGTTGCATAAAAATTATATTAATAAACCTAGTAAAACACATTAGATTTCTTTAGCATGCACGTTTATCTCATCTCTATGGGTACATTTCTTTGTCAATTTTGTTAAACAATGTGTTTCCTCGGGGCTCTTTCTAACGCAATTATAATCACGATCGGAAAATTATACGAGCTATTCACCAGCGAGAAAGTATCGTCCCTCGCGAATTGACTTACCCTTAAAATCGTCAACGTAGCGGTACACGTCATTTGGCGATTATGTGCTTAATCGTATGACGAAATTGTCGTTATCATTCGCAACAGTCTCCTCTTTCTCCCTCTTTCTCTCTTGTCATCGCCGTTGTGTTACGAGTTCGCTTTGTGCCGATAACCAGATGCGGCTGATATATTTAGCGCGGTTAGTACCACTGTTGCTAGGGCATCAGCTGATCAGGCCGGCCGTCCGCGTACAGGAGTGTATCTTCGATCCTTCTATACCTCGTATCTACGGGTAAATGTTTGTAAGCTCGGCTTGGAATTCCTTGAAGAAATTGTTAGTTTGAGGAGATGTAGAGGGATGTACTGAAAGTTTGATTACAAGATTCAATAACGCGGAGCCGAAATGGAAGTTTCCGAAACGCGGTTACTTGAAGGCTCAGTGACGTAATCGACAAAAGGAGCCGCTGATTCGATGCGAACAGATAACAAAAGAGAAGCCGTCAAAATAATTAAAGAGAAATAATTTATTATTACGCTATAATATCTCGGATAGTGATTATTATAAATGTCATTTGAAGTTATTTAACTGACTTTTTCTCTTCCTACTTCGATTTCGAGAGAGAGAGCGCGAGCTAGGAAAGCGACTAAGCTTCGTTTAATTTCAACTAACATTTAACGGAGCGCCTCGGTGTATATTAATTAAGGAGAAAGCGGCAAAGAAGACGCGACGGAAGAAACGAGGGGGACAGTTTTTTTTTGTTTCTTCTAGAATCGGAGTCGATTCGCCCGCGGAATCGACTCGAGAGTTCCCGAAAAATCTGGACGCGTCTCGCTACAGGATGGGACTCTCGAACGCGTCGATATATAGGATCGACCGGGACTCCCACGTGCGTTACAGCCCTGCCACGACCAATGACAGCCGCGTAAAACCGGCGTGCGTTTCCCCTCCACCATCCCCGCGCGTGTATAGTCCCGATCTGCTATCCTCACAATCCCCCCTCCCTCCCCCCCCCCGCACCCCCTGCCGCCCCTCCGCCATCCCGCTTTTCCGACGCCCGGCAGCCGGCCAGATGATCGCGGCGGCCGCTCCACTCGACTCGCTTGGCATCGCTCGGCGGCGGCGGCGTCAGTTAGCAACCGGCTCTCGTCTGGGATGGATCGTCTCGCCGCCGCATCGTTCGCACGGCCGTGCCTTTAATACTCATTGTCAGCGTAACCTGATTCTCTCGCGTTTCTCCGAGACCTTCTTCTCACCTCGCCGCGCTACGGTCACCGGGTACGTTTTACTGCACGCGCTGACGGCGCCGATCCTCTCGCGTTTCCTTTCGTCGTCCGCGCTGCCGCCGAGTTTTTGCTCGGGAGAAGCCAACTTTACTCTCCCCCTCCTTGTGATATTATTATGACTGCTCGTAGCCGCGCTACCGCGTTACGCCTCGTACACGCTTGTATCTGTAGTGACAATCGACGGACGTGCTGCGCCGGCCCGCCGAATTGCCGGTGATAAATTCGATCGCCGAGATTCTTCTCGTCGTCGTCGATCGTGCTCCGCGCGACCTGCAGCCTGCCGAGGAAAAGGGATAAATAAGGGTGGACAGAGAAAGAGAGCGGCGGCACAGATCAGGAACGGTTAGTTTGGGGGTGTGCCCGTTTCGAGTATTCTCTCATTTGGTGTTGTATGAAAGAAAGGCCTTCAAGATTCCCATTGCCGACGAGGACGACCCGCAGCCGGTGGCGGCTGACACGATCGCGAACTGTGCCACCAGCATGGGCAGCATGGGTCAAATTGGACCGAATGACGTGAGTCTTCTTTCTTTCTTTTTTTTTTATTTTCCCCTCCTTTTCCCTCGCTCGTCCTTTTCGGGAGGAAAACTTTTCCCGGCTTGATGTATGCGCCCGAGATCGGGGCGCCGCAACGCCGACGTCGACGTCGACGTATCGACCCGCCGCGCCGGTTGTCACCTGGCGGACGCGCGAGTGTCGTCGAACCGACGACCGTTCGACGCTTCTTGTTTTTTTTCCCCTCTCGCTCGGACCGGAGCGCGAGTAGGTCGAGAGACCTTGTTCCTCCCCGAACTCCCGGAAATCGGAGCAGGGCGTGCACGTCGACGTTTTCATGAATCACGATCCACCGCACGCCGCGCCGCGGACAATCGAGTGCCGGCGCCGCGCCGGCGACGAGCCGGCGGCTCGCAACAAGTGGAAAGTTCCTGGTTCCGAGATCGAGAGATCCTTCTCTTTTCGAACCTCGAAGCGCGGCATCGCGGATGCCCCCGATCCGACTCTCGACGACTTCCCGGTTCTTTGGGAACTTTCCGCGCGAGGTTTTTATTAAGACACTTCGTTACTCGCCGATAAACATTTCCATCGCGGTAAACGTGGGTGTTAGAGCCTAATCGCGGAGTCTCTCGCGTGCAGTGCACGTTTCCTCAAATATTTGTACAAAGTGCAGCTTTACCGTATATACGGCCGATACACGTATCTGTAATTGTCGCGCGTAAATGCCTTTGAAACTAGATAAACGGGCGTGATAAAACGCCTCTGCTTTACGCAAGATGTCACGCTGTTTCGTCATACGGTCACATATTTTGCTATCGCATTGTTTTCGACAATATCGATTAATCACCTCGTAATTGACCTCCTTATTCCTCGTTTCGTCTATTTCGACCAGGGAGAATCTCTCCATTAATCCCCTTTAATTTTTCACGCTGACGTCGGAATTTAATGAATCTGCGAATGTGTGTGTGTATACACACATTTCAAATCTAAACGAGAATACTAGAAATATCTCTCCGCCGCTCTCGGATCGAGATGAGCGATAAAAAAAATTCTCGCGTGGCATTAATTCCGTCGGGTAAATCTTTTTCCGGTGGGGTAAAATTTTTTCTCGCTAAAATACGCCCTCCGTTGCATCTCCGGTTCTCGAGAGGATCGGCAGTATTGTCGACGCGCGCGCGACATGCGATCATGTTCTCATTGCTCCCGCGCGATCGTCCTCGGCTTTCTTCCTCCCGCGCTCGCCCTCCCGGGATACACATTCGAAAAGTCGCCGAGGCCTTCCTACTCGGCTCATCGGCAGAAATAGAGCTACAATAACGCGGCTGGTGAAGGAGTGACAGAGGCGGCCGGCCGGCCGGCCGGCCTGTCAGCCAGCCAGCCAGTCTGCCTGCCTGTCTGCCTGGCGCAAGAGCGAGAGAGACGTGAGAGAGAAAGAGGGTACGTTAACGATAGATAGAGACGAGAGACCCGGTGATCGCGTGATCACGTTCAACGTTGCCGGTTGGTCGGCAGGCGTCGGGATTTAACAGTGACGAGAACGTATATAATTCCTCTTCCCTGTTTACGCGTTTGTTTTACTCGCTCTTTTTCCCTCGGCTCTCTCTCTCTCGCCTGCCTTACCTGATTAATCGCATGCCGATCTCGCGTCGAGATAACGTCACCGCGTCTTCGGACGCGTCTTCTTGGTTTTCTAGAAAACGCCGAGAGTTCTCCCCTTTATTTAACGGGACCGCTCTCCGACGTGCGGGGCCAGTCAGTTTCGTGATTTCGCGGGAAGTCGATGGCGCGGGACTCGAATGTGAAATTGAACGATACGCGGAGATATTTTTTTTTCTTTGCGACTGCAGATAATTCTGTTCTTACGTAACGCGATAATTGTATAAAGGAATTTAGACTGTATGTGTCAAGTGCGATGGTCGAACTTTGGCATGTATTAAGAAAAAAAGTGCGACGAAGAAGACAAAGGAAAATTGCTTCTTCGTATATCTTACAATTTTTTTGAAAAACGTAAGACTCCTAATTTTTTTAATATATGTATTTTTTTTTAGTTATCATAAGCTCTCTATCATGAAAATTATTGTAAGCTCTGTTCGTAAATGGAAAATAGTCTCTGTTTTCATTCTCGCGTTTCAGATGATCGCGTCCGAATCACTTCTAAGTTTTGTACAATTTTCATGACAATCCTTACGACGTGCTTTTACGGAATGTGCGAGCATGATTGTTGATAACAATATAAAGCGTACATATTTAAGGGAAGATATTTGCGAGCTGTGCCTCATCTCGAATAACTCTAAATGTCTTTTCTTTCTCTCTGCTCGCCAACCTCCAGATAATTCCAGTCCACCAACCAAGTGGTACGCGAGGATTAATTTACATAAGATTAATTCTACCCGAATGAAAAAAAACTAGTTCTGATCGTACCCGTCGCGGTTAAATTGGCGTTCGATTTTTGTTCCGTCACGTGCCCCGCCTGATAAGCGAACGTGATGACTTGGTAATCAAGTGACGAATCAGATAGCCATCTAATTTAATCATTTGCGTTCACATAACAAGCATATTTTTTTCTGCGGACTTTAAAGTCCGAACGAGTCGATTGTAGTAACAGTGTAGAAAAAATCGACAGTCGACAACCGATACCAAGTTTGTTGCGATTACGTAACTTGCGAAACT